CAATCTACACCCTAGACAAGTTCAACTGTGATGTATTTAAAATACATTTAATGTTGTGTAGATGGTGCAAATCCTGGAAATAACATGTTTATGGAAAATTGGGGTTTATTTTTCTGACAGTATTAACTGATTTAAAATATATAATTGTAATACAATTTAAAACATTAGTTTAACTTCACCACAACTCAAGAGATTAGAATTTCAGCAATACCTGTATGTTATTGTGGAACAGAAAATGAACACTTCACAAACTTTATATTAATTTAGTTCAGTTATTGAGAAGGTTACTATGAATTTTAAATTTGATACTTTGTATTAAAAATGCATAATTGAATTTTTTAATACATGGCTTATGTTAATGAATGATAATTCCTAAAAAAACTGTTAAACGTTATAAACTCTGTGTATAAATGAGAGTCAAAGTGTGCATGTAGTGACATTTTATAGTTACATTTAAACCTTAATTAAACTTTATTATCAATTTATTCAATAACCTTGGCAAAAACGTAGTTAATAGCCCAAATTTTAATATTATATAAGTTTTAATTTCAAAAGGAAATATTTGAATAATTTATCAATATTCACTTGTTAGCTTCAAATTGCTCATTTAAACATACCTTCTACACTAATTTCAGCTTCTGAGTTTTAATACAAATTATAAACTTACAGATATTGCTGAGACTTTATTTTATTGCCTCCTATCATCTTGATAAGCATGGAATCAGAATCTTGTTGATTCAGAATAATATATTGTTGTACCACTTCACACTAAATACAGTTGTATAGAAAAAATGACTAATTTTATGCCCATGATAATCTTGTTCTCATCTACACTACCAGATGAAGTGACACCTATCATTAGTTTATTGCCCCATTGTACACTGAAGATGGACCTAAAGTATCCATGTGGTTGATTGCTTAAATGTAGTTGTGTATGTTCTGTTCATGTATGTAATTGATTGCTTTGATATTTTTGTATTCATGTAAAATTATATTTGACCCAAAGAACTAAGTGTGTATAACTTGTTATCCTGTACCTACAAATAATCTCACTAATCTCCCAGAACTAAGTGTGTAACTTGTTATCCTGTACCTACAAATAATCTCACTAATCTCCCAGAACTAAGTGTGTAACTTGTTATCTTGTACCTACAAATAATCTTGCTAATCCTCACAATTAAGTGTGTGTAACTTGTTATCCTGTACCTACAAATAATCTCACTAATCTCCCAGAACTAAGTGTGTAACTTGTTATCCTGTACCTACAAATAATCTCGCTAATCCCCCACAATTAGGTGTGTGTGACTTGTTATCCTGTACCTACAAATAATCTCACTAATTCCCCAGAACTAAGTGTGTGTAACTTGTTATCCTGTACCTACAAATAATCTTACTAATCCCCCAGAACTAAGTGTGTGTAACTTGTTATCCTGTACCTACTAATAATCTAACTAATCCCCCAGAACTAACTGTGTGTAACTTGTTATCCTGTACTTACAAATAATCTCACTAGTCACTGTTATCTTTCTGATTTACAATAATTGACGTGAAATACAACATCATTTAAACAATGTAATGCTATTCTGAGAGTACTTTGACATTTTCAAACTTTTTATATAAAGTTAATAGACTTTATTACCATGCAAGATCCTCACAAATAAAATATTTTAAAAATGCAACTATTTAGTCCACAGGCCTACATTAGGTGCTAATTAATTGAATAACATCTTTCATTGTTGGAAAGTAAATTATTTTTCAAAACATGTTCAAGAATACACGAGGTTTGACTAACAGTACTAATATTCATAAAGAAATATAAGAGCTTGATAGATGGTGTTGATATTTGAAACATTTTTCAAGTGTATAAAAATAAACTTTATTAATGGTCAAACCTTTCTGGCAATTAACGATATGTATGTAGTAGATAGGGGATAAATGTTGCAGAAATAAATTACTTTCAGAATATTGTTAAAGTCAGCATCATCCTGGCTTATACAGTATCACGTAGACAATAGATGAATTCTTGCAAACAGAGGCCAGTCTTCACACCTGCCCACTCATCTAGGACAGCTCAGAAGTCACAACCACAGTGCTGTAAATTGTGCTACAGTGATTAGTGTGATATTGAATTTGTTCTGTAAATTGTGCTACAGTGATTAGTGTAATATTGAATTTGTTCTGTACCATAAAGATGAAGATTGTGGTCTAGCCAGTGCCTTTGTTATTGTTAAATGTATCTCAGCTTAGTCATCTGTAAAGTGTTTGTTGAAGGCATTATTGGTTGCTTAGAACAATATGTTTTTCTGATTTGTATTTTTCACATTGTTTAGTGAGTGCCCTATTTGACTGTTTGTTCTGAAATCAACACCAGAACTCACTTTTCAGAGGATTTTCATCATCTTTCATAAAAAGAAGCATGGTCTGTGCACTTTCTGTTTTGGCCAAGGCATTGGGCATAGTGATATAATTATGTTCAAATAACAAACTGCTGGTTTCTCCAAAAACATCCTTAAGTAGAAACATATAAAAGCAAATTAAAATTATTTGAGTTATCTAAAAAGACCATTCACTGTTTCCCTGTCCTTGCCAGACTTTACATTATCCTCAGAAAATCTTTTTCTTTCATGTTTGGAAAGAGTAATTTGTTTCTACTGTATCCATTTAGTTTTAATACCCTAATAGGCTTGGATCTTACATTATTTTTACTACCTCATTTATTTCTGTAAACCTCTTCGAAGAATTTTTGTACAACAGTAGACAGAAGTTAACTACTATACTTCTGTGTGATGCTTTGAAGATTTCTGTCGAGGCAAGCTCTATTCTCTGGGTCATGCAGCATATCTGAACAATCTCAGATGCACCTTCTTCCAACAATGTACCCACGTATTATTATGCACTAATTGCTCTAAAGCAAAACATTTTGGAGTTAAATTCATTATAGGAAAAAACAAATCTTGGAACCCTGCCTCCAGGATTTATTGAATACGTTCAGTCTTGACATTTTTGACATCCACAATCTTGAGGTATGCAGAATGAGAATAAAAAATTTTTATTATTCAGATGAACCCAAAATACAAAACCAACTTGCATGAAAATGTATCCATGTTTTTAGTAGTATCTAGTTTCTACATGAAAATGTTTGTATAAAATTTGATTTAATATAAATCTATAACTTTTTTAGGTTGCAAAGTTTGAAATTGTGTTGAAAAACAGCATGTAAAAAATAGTAAAATACTTCTGTATCTTATACTTTCATCTCTAAACATCAGAAAGTTTAATGTAATAGATCCAGTCAGTTTTTACTTGTTTGGAATTCATTCAGAGTTGCCATTACTGTGTCTGTGACTTTTTGGTGATAAAGTTCAACAATAAACAGACTGCACACAGTCCACTTGTTTTAAAATAATATATTCAAAACCAGTCAAACATGTGTACAAAAATTTTTTACACTACTGGTTATCACAGTTGTATCCAGAGCTTTAAATAATTCTCTATTTTTTTTCCCTCAAAGTTTCACAAGTGGATTCAACTTCTTTATAACACCCTTTGACAAGATAAATTCTTCTTTTTTATCTTTGTTGTTACTCACTGTAGAAATTGCACATTATGGCTAAACTCACATGCAGGCTAACTTCACTTTCACTAAGTTACTTACTCTCTATACCTGCACGTTTTTATAACACGCAACAGAAAAATCTAGAAATATCAAGTCCTCTAGTAACAACAATATTAAACATAATGAGAAAGACTTAGAATCTTTGAGGTAAAATGACGTCAACAATATTACAAAAGTCTAGTACGACAATTAAATTATATACACAACATATGACTCGTGCTAAATTTTGTAACGAAACTTGTTATAACTATCACTTTTAAAATAATTAACTTTTAACACTCTTGTTATGAGAACTAAATTATCTTTAAATATTATATCACTAAATAGATTGAAATTAAACGGAACAGTCTTGTTTATCCAACAGTTACCATTATCAGGCATCATAGTATGATATTGTGATAATAATATTTTTGATCAAAATCATTTTGTTTTCTATAAATAAGAAAATCTCATATTTGTGTGTATTGTATTGTACATTTGAAACTTAGCAATATATTCAGTAAAAAATAGGATTTCCCTCATTTAAATAGATTGCGGGTCTAGCCTACTTGCTAATATACTGTCACATTTAGATCTGTATTTGTGATAAATGTTGCATTTTAGCCATCATTTTTATATATATATATAGTAATTTTGACTGTTGTTCACAGTTGGTTTCAATATTCATGACCATGATGAAAAAAAGAAAATTTCCAGTGGCCTTTAATGGTTGCTGTCTATATGCTTGGACCAACTAGCATTTTGCAACTAGCCAACACATTCTAAATGTTTAAAATAAAAGTTTGTTATTAATAATAATATTGATAGTATTCTTGTCATAAAGAAATTGATATTTGGAGTGATAAAGTTAGATCTAGCTTTTGTTTATAAAGCATTTTAAATAAGTTATTATGATTGAAATTTTGGGTAAAGGTTAAAATATATTACTTATTATTTGTCATGTTTGTGCTTGAGAATAGTGATTCATGTTGTGTTGTAGTTATTCTATGGTTCACTCTGTATTAAAATATTATTTTGCAGGGTGCTAAGGAAGAAAGAAAAGAAAAATAGTTTTAAACTGTAAGTTTCTGCTGTTTGATATTTTTGGTAAATTAAAACAAAAAATACTTGTTACTAGCTATAAAAATGGCATGATTTTTGCTTTGCCTCATTATTTTTTATTTCTGTGTATTAGTATGTTTTATATGTTAAATGCTTCAGCCTCTTGGATGATCTTTCAGTTTTCTTAATACGTAACTACTTTTTACACGACAATAAAATGATGCATTAGGAAACAAAAACATTATCAAGCCAATAGGGTATAACATTAAAATAAATCGTTGTATTCTCACTTCCTAAATAAAAGAATGTGAAAACTATTTTGCATAATTTATTTACAAAGATTCTGCTTGTTACAACAAGACAATGTATGTTTTATGTAAACTTAAGTTACTCTGAGTTAAAGCAGGTAAGATACCAGTGTTTGAAAATTGCACAAATTATTAAATAAAACTGAAAAATGTATTACAACAATTTGTGTTGTTTAGCTTTTGTATTAGTTGTTAGTTGTGGCAAAATTCACAATTTGGGAATTCGTATTGAAATTAAAATTGACACATTTTAATTTCTTTTTGACACACATTTCAACCTTTTCTGTACATGTAGCCATTTTAAATGATAATCATAGATCAAAGTAATCATAATGTGTTGTATTACTACTACTGTAATGTTTCTGACAAAACTAATTTCCACTACAAATTTAGTTATTTGTTCGAATTTTTTTAACTTCCAGTATTTATTCGAATATTTAATATTTATAACTTCCGAAGCTCCACATTATTACCTACTTTGCATAATTAATGGGCAATAGCTTGTATTTTAGAGAATACAGAAATTGTAAATGCCAGTAGGAATATTTGTGTGGTTTGATAACGAACAGCATAGACCATATAATGTGTGTTTGAGAAATTGGCCTAAAAAAACGTGTTGAAGTCATAAATAACATTAAAATCAATATTAAGTTCATTATATTCAGTAAAAAATAAATAAAGAAAATAGTGTTTTGTAGAAAGATAGCTGTGAACTATCTTAATGGTAAAATATTTTCAAAATAATTATTATTTATTACAATGAATATTTTTGCTTCACACTTTGATTTATTTAATATATACTTTATTCTGAGTATATGAGCATTCAAGTTATTATGCAGTTGAAACATCTCGGGGCTTAAACTTGGTAGGTTAGAGTTTATACTGAACTTTCACCTATTCTGGTATCTACAGTTATGTACATTCTTAATACCTGCCACACGAGCCAGCTCAGCATCATTTAGTACTGGACCTAGAATGTTTAACAGGGGGTCATTCCAGAAACCGGTGATTTAGAATTATTTCAATAGATCTTGATGAAAGAAGCTTGGAACAACTTCTAAGACAGAAAAAAAAAAAATATATATATATATTTATGAAATCATGACATAATGAAATCTTTGTGGATTATTCTATGGTGCAACTATACAAAGCATTATACCATCCTTCTTATATTTATTCTTTGTTGCACAAATGGCATTTTTAATTTGAGAATTGCTAGGGAAATCATATTGTAATGCATCGTGTATCTGCTTCAACTTCAACACTGCATCTTTAGGCTTTACTGTGCCATTAGTTTCACAAAATATTGAAACTAATGATTTATTACATATGATTCCAATCCCCTTTTTTGAAGCTAATGATACTATTGTGCCTGTTGTTTTATTCTTTCACTGTCAGTGCAGTAAGCAACTGATGAATCTTTGATTCAGCTGGTATGTCACATTGATTGGGATATCTTTGTATTAGCTTTTCCCTCATCCAACCTGGACCTATGGTTTAGCTTAATTGCTATACTTAAACCATCACATTGCTACATTGTTTTGCTATACATTGGCAAGTTAACTTCCCCATGTTGGGTCTCATGGTCTTAGTTCAGGTCATGGGTCTGGTTTACTGAACTAGACCTAAAAAATAGTCCCAAACGTTTTCTTTTTGTGAAATAAAAGCAAACCAGACCTTTCTAGAATGACTAATTTTTTTTACCCACATGAAGATGCTGGGCTAGCTCGTGTGGCCATTGTTAAAAACAAAATTTATACTTTTATTCCAAATATGTCCTAAAGCATTTAAGTTGAATTTCATTATTTTAACAGTCTTTTAAAGACTTCTTTTTTATAAAAAATATATTCCAGAAAATTCATTATTGTTACTAAATTGTTTTTAGCCCCAAGAAATACATCAGGTGCTCACATGACCAGTTTTTCTCCAACGATCTTCATGTTCTGACCAATGTTGCTACTCAGGCTGAAAAAGTTTGCCGTTATGATCTGGATGACCTTGATGTTCAGTGGTTGAAGAGATTAAATGAAGAACTAGATGATCTAGGTAAATAAGTGAGTCTTTAAAAAATTTATGATATTTAGGTTATATTTAGTAATTGTTTCGAAGTAGAAGAAGGAAAACAAAAGTTTAATTTTGCACAGTATTGACTGAAAAATTAGGTATTGAATTTTTTAAGTTGTTTTTTAATAAGTTGAAATTATTGAAGAAATCTTTTTCGAGCTACCCCATCATTTTTTATTTTTTATGTAATGGTTAAAAATCTAATGAAAAAGGTTTTCATAAAGGGGGTGTTTAAAAACCAGAGTTTTTGTGTGGCTGTAAATTAAATGATAATGAGTATATTTAATATGACAAAAGAAAACAGCCTTTTTTTTTCTACATAAAGGACAACCTTTGATAGAAGAAGTCACAGTAGAGTACATTATTGAAGACTTAGAAACACAGGTAAGATATTTTATTTGCTTTTTTTTTCTTTCATTTTTGGCACTGGGGTTGAAACTAGATTTGAATACGGGTTTTTCCAAGGTGATATACATATGTGTGTTTGTGTGTGAAAGTGATATTTATCTAGTCCACATCTGAACTATACAATAACAGACAATTCCATCAAGAAAAAAATCAATAAAGAGTCATAGTTGTACATTATTCAAAAGATGATGATGATGACGACATGGTGCTGGAAATCTGAATTGTAAAATGATAAAGTGGTAAAGAATGTACCTTGATCCAAAATGAATATTTATACTATACTGTATTGGAAGTAAAATTGGAAATGCATAGGTGACATACATACAGTAGATACAGACAATAAGTAATTGCAACGAAGTTATGAATTTATTATTAATACAATACATTATTACATAAAGTACAACAGAAAAGTGAATATAGCTGTACAATGCAGTAGTATATACTTGAAACAGAATGGTACATGTTGTTTTTATGCTACCGTACGTTTATCAGTACATGAATGTGAATTATTGTTCCAAATGTTCTGTACTGCTACCAACAATTCAGACAATTTTTGGTTATCATTTGACTTTCTCAGTTTCAATATAAACCCATACAGCTTTAGTTAATATTCATATTGGGACTGCTACCAACAATTTAGACAATTTTTGGTTATCATTTGACTTTCTCAGTTTCAATATAAACCCATACAGCTTTAGTTAATATTCATATTGGGACTGCTACCAACAATTCAGACAATTTTTGGTTATCATTACTTTCTCAGTTTCAATATAAACCCATACAGCTTTAGTTAATATTCATATTGGGACTGCTACCAACAATTCAGACAATTTTTGGTTATCATTACTTTCTCAGTTTCAATATAAACCCATACAGCTTTAGTTAATATTCATATTGGGATTTTGTGCAAGCCAAGTCATTGTTGCAAGTGTTTTGTTGGTCTCTCTAATTTCAGGTTCATATCACCACAGCATGTGTGGGATCACTTTCTTTCTGGAAATTGTATCCCTACCCATCAAGTCTTTTTTTCTTATTTCTGAAGGAATGATATAATCAATAATAATTTACTTGTATCTCTCGGTAATCAGGGTACTATCAATTTCGTGTAGATTTCCGATGTCATTGGTTGAGATGCAGTCCACACTTTTATTGATCCTCAAGCAAGCTTCACTACAGATATAGCATTTTGACTATAAAACTGTTCTATCTGCAACTGGTCCCCTAGTGCAACAGCAGTATATCTGTGGTCTTACATTGCTAAAATATGGGGTTGGATTCCCTGTGGTGGACACAGAAAATAGCCTAATGTGGCTTTGATCTAAAACATACACACATCTGCAACTAGAAAAAAATTATCATTGATTGTTGCTAGATGTATATGAATTTGATTAATCTGTAAAGAGAACCCTCCTCCATCTTTGTTAGTCCCCTTGTTTTAAATTTGATGCCTGTTTGATCATTTTATTTGATTATTTCTCCTAAACAATGAGTTTTGAGCAGCTACACATCATACTATAATGGATGTAGCATTTATATATGTATCTATCTATGTGACCGAAATAATAAATACAATGTTGTGCCATGTATTGAATAGCACCACAAACAAAAATCCTTAAAAAAATTTCATACTTTGAGCATTCAAGATTCAGATAATTAGAAAAAATAACTACAGTATGTGCAACAACCATTTCTTTATCACAGAACACAATTTTAAATAAATGCACTCTCCTCACAACAAGAAGACGACTTCCACTAGGACTGTACATGAGGGATTGATTATATCTTTATTGATGTAATTTGTAAATATAGTACTAAAAATGGAGTTCTTAACAAAAATGTTATTTTTTCAATAAAGGGTACTTCTTTTAATATATAAAAACATTGCAGTTTATATCGGCACAATCCGAACACTTTTCCCATGCAGTACTTCCCAGAAAAATCTTTTTTTAGAAAATGTTCACTTTTTTCTACAAAATTTCAGTGAGGTATGAATGCTATGATTAATAATTACTAGCACTAATAGCTGCCCGTAGGGCAACATTTCTGTTAGTTTGTTGAATCTATTATGATAATGTAGTTATTGAGTTTAGGGTTCTTGATTTATAGTAGATTGCTTAAAGGTGAGTAAAGAAACATCACTATAAAAACTCAATTGTGATGTGAATATTTCTTATTGCTTAGTGCTTTGAAAACCTTGAAGAAGCTATTAAAAGTGAAGAGGGCCTTGGCATTGAGTATGATGAAGATGTTATATGTGATGTTTGTAGGTCGGTGAGTACATTTTAGATTCCTCCCAGAAAATAATGTTCAGATATTGGAGTCCGGTTATACCAAGAAAACTGTTATAGTAGATGAACACTTTATTTCTAGAAAAAATCTAGAAAACAAATGCATTTGGAGAAAGAATGTAAATGATATTTAATTTATTTTGAAATGTACAGTCGAAACATTATCTAAATCTCTGAAGTTTTTCAGACATTAGCAAATTTAAATAGCTATAATTAGGAAAGGAAATTATATATGATTCATGCACCATTGTGAAGTTCTTTGGATTTTTTTTTTTTCATTGGTATCTAGGTTTTAAAGTTGCTATAAGCAGAAAAAATTTTGTAATAATGCCCAAGTTGTGTATTTCAGTTTTATGGGGATGTATGTATATAGTTCCTTTGAGGGGTGGGGGGAAATATATATATACCAAGTGAAATTTCTGAACTTTAAGCACATCAAACATTTTATGTAATTCTATACTGAATACAAAGTATGTTTATAGGTTATTTTAGAATTTAATAATAAAATGTTATAATTAAACTGTGTGGGGTTAACCAACAATGTAGAATTGTGGTTTTACTGACCTTAGTTCTGACATTCAAAATTATATAGAGATTTTAGGTAGTCAAATGTGAAACAGTTTATTCCAGTTTAATTTGGTAAAATATAATATATTTTATTTGTTTTTCCATTTCATTTGTAATGCTAAATGAAGCCCTTGCTGTAAAATTGAAATAAAACTCAATGTTGTTTTAAATTCACATATACATTTAATGTATGCAAAGAAAAAAGTAAGTCGCAAAAAAGCAAAATCATGTATGACTTTTGACTTAAATACAGCTTGGTGCTGTTTAGTTTTGTAGGTGTATGAGTATATTTTTAAATTGTTTCCTATTTAAAAATGCATTTTATGATGTAATATTTTCTGAGGCAAGTTTTTGTTCTCTCAGCCTGACTCAGAAGAAGGAAATGAAATGGTGTTTTGTGATTTTTGCAACATCTGTGTTCATCAAGCATGTTATGGAATCACAAACATCCCAGAAGGAAGTTGGGTGTGTAGGACGTGTGTTCTTGGTGTTAGACCAGCATGTATTCTTTGCCCAAACAGGGGTGGAGCCATGAAAACTACAAGGTGAAGTAGTTTTATCCTCTTCCAAAGTTTGTGAAAAAATATGATTAGGTTTTGAATATGTGTATGTATTATTTTTTGTACTTGTGTGTGTTTCTGCATTAGATGTTACAGTTCGTTTTATAGAATTAATAACTTAGAAATAGTCATGAAACTGAAATATGTATTGACATATATTGCTACCTATAGATCTATTTGTAAGCAGTAGATACAAAAAAGATCAATTTTCTGGATAATACATTGGTTTAAAAAACTTAAATTAAAATAATAAGAGTATGAAAGAGACTCAATAATGTATGGAATACAGGACAAGTTTGTTAATGGTAAATAAACAATGGCAAATACCAGTTGACTGAAAAAAAAAGACCGATGTACAATATTGGTAAAAAATAAAAAGTTTTGGTTTTACTTTCTTGGTCACCTAAAGTGTTTTAATTTTCTTTAGTTGCTTTAGATAGATTTAATAATGTTGTTTGGTAAGCATAATAATATGATATAAATTTGGTTACATTAACTTAATGAACTGGTGAGCACCTTTCAGGTGTTGAGTGCACACCTTCATATCAAATTTCAAACTTTAAGTACTATATTTCAGGAATCTTTTAGAATTGATATCTTGTCAATTTTCAACATTTTTTTAGTGTTAAGTATGAAAGAAAAATTTAGAAGAATGTTCAAATTTGCATTTCTATAGTTTTTCACAAATTTTGTTAGGATGGGCTTGTCTTTTCTACCATTTTATGACCTCACAGCATGTGATCAGAGCAACTGTTAATGTATCTAATTGAATAAATAGAGTTGTTTAAACATTTGTTTAAACAACTCTATTTATTCAATTATGTACAAGCTGTCCAGTGTCGC